CTAATGAAACTCTTTTTCCTTTTCCACCAATAACCCACACGTGTCGCGTTTAACCAACGAAACGCAATGTGACAGCGAGCTAACCTCTCGCCTATGTAGTAAACAAAGGAATTTTATTGAGAATAGCAAAAACAATTAACTTGTCATCGAGAGATTACGGTTTCCAATTTGGTGACAAAGTCGAGTGACTTAAATTTCATTAAAAGTGTATGGTCTGATAGTAGCAAATGGTAGTCGGTTCCTCGGAATGTGAACAAAATGACTTGATCCGCAGATATTATATGCACATACATATGTACATATAGGGTAGACTGCGATAACTGACGCAGAGTCGACAAAGATTACTTGTTAAAAATGAACGTTTTCTTTCTTCCACGCTTGCTTCCCGAGCGATTTATTACCCTACACTCGGCTTTGAATAAGCCAAATAACAAAATAATTATTCTTCCCCTCTATCCGTACCTTGGGCTTTCTCCATTCGATAAAACTTTGTAATCCGCAAAACTTTTTAAATTTCAGTTAGCTCTCCGTCGTCGAGTGTAAGCGAATAGCGCAGTCTCTGCGATCGAATTCGAATTAACCAAATACAAGTTTCCTCAGGAACGAAGAAAATACATAATATTTTAACGTACTAAAAGAGACATTGAGTCCTGTCAAGTTGACGACAGGTAGCGCACGATCATCCCTTTCAACTCATCAAGCAGCGAAAGAAGGGCTGGAATCCGCTTGATACACCTGGGGCTTCTAATTTTATTGGAATTTCAACTTTCCATCTCGCTAATTGGCTTTCTCGTTGAATACACGTGGTGGGATTCTCTCCGTTTCTCCCGCCATGCGAGTTCCTCCTTTCATCCGTAGAATAGAACGCACAAAGTTTTCGCTCGCTCGCTCTCATTTCACTTGATCGACTTTATGGTTTTCCGCTCTCGGTGCAATTTCCACAACTAAAACGGTCCATAAACGCGAAACTTTTACGCAGCCTCGAAAGTGCTCGCGACGCGCTATCTCCGTCCATGTGACTTTTTCAATCCAGCCGTTGCTCTAGATCGCGTTTAACCCTCACCCTCAACTTACAAGAAAATCATCCAAAAACGACGAGCGTATTTCCACGGTTGTTTCATTACGTAAGATGCCGCACCGCAACGCCCAAAGAAACGGACTGCGCAGTTACCAATTTTACGAGGACGCCAAGATCAGTATCGAATCGATGTTTTTCCAGATGCATTTCGAACATCCTGGATCGTGGCACACCAAATTCGCGCGGATAAATTATAGGAATGTTTGATTGTAGGCAGGCAGTACACGAATATTAATAACGATAACAATTTATTATATAAGATAATTCAGTACTAACACTATATCGGTAATAACTAACACTCTCAACTCTAAACTCTTAACTCTACTCAACTCTCGGCACTCTACAATTCGCGCTCTCTGATGCTCTCTCAGCGTCTCTCGCTCTATGATACTCTGATCCCCGCGTGTCTCATTCACCCCTATTTTATTCTTTCTTTCACTCATTCCCTCTTTCTCTATGTCTCTAGCTCTTTCATTCTTCGCGGACATTCTCAAAACGCATCCAATCACGTCCACCGAACTTTTCGGCAGTCATGCACCCTTCGTTCGCCCGATACTCTCGCGTTCTCGTTTGAAACACTTATCATTCGCACCTACTAGCCCCGGTCTCCCCTATTCACACGAGATATAGGGGAGACCGGGGCTAGTAGGCTAGTTTTTCAGTTTTCCATTTTTAATAAATTACGTGGGCGAAATATCATTATAACGGTTAATATATTTGGTAAGACATATATTTGACTACCTGATTAAATTATTAAAATTGACTTAATGTTATAACAACTAAGGTATTTTAACGTTTTTTCTAACATCTTGCAAGCTGGTCAATCAGCCACATGGCCGGGGTAGGTATAAGTCTTTACAGTATGGGGTAGGTTGACTACAGATACAATCGGTTAAGAAAATGTTATTTGTAACTTATTTTAGTGGTAATAAAGTAACATAATGTCAATAAAGTTGTTTTATTATAAAATATTACTTATCTTTCTCTGATATTTTAATAATAAACTAAAAATTTGTTTTCAACAAATTAAACATAAATTATAATGTATTTATAAGTTAATCAATTTTAAACAAAACATGAAAATCGCTATTCTAACAACAAAATCACAATTTAAACCTTTATAGTAGCAACAAAAACGTAGAGAAACATAAATATAAACATATACCTATAGTTCTTATGTTATGTACCTAACTTTATAAATAAGTTATTAACTAACATTCAGTAACGAAAAGTTAATATAAACTGATAAATTAGAATATAACCCTAAATTATTTGTATACTAAAAAGAAACTGTTTCAATAGGTCGTCTAATGAACAAACTTTAAAATATCCCTTTAACATTTATTCTATTATAACTATATAGAGCGTGAAAACATAAAATCTTGAAGAAAAAATATTTACTTAGGTAGCCAATTTTACGATAAACGCTGATAAAACTCAAACAACGTGCAATCACGGCGTCGAAAATAGATAAATATTTCCGCGGTATAGCACACGTCGGTGCAATGTAATTAACAGTCAGTCTACGTACCCCTTAAGACAACTAGCCCCGGTCTCCCCTGCTCTTCATTCGCACCTTCATCTTTCCAGTCTACGCACTCGTTACAGTTATTCTTACAATTTAGCATTCCTACAAAATTATCTCTGCGAACGATCCAATAAAATTTTCCGTAATCTTTATCATTGTAGCACGAAACTGTTCTCGTCAGTTGGCATTTTTGTTTATTTCGTACACTGTCCCTCCGTCTGTCTCGGCAAATCCATTTTTCGCTCCTTAAAAAATAATCCACGCTCTATAATGATGTTTCAGCGTCAAATTCACCGTCACATGGCTATTACATCAGATACTCGACGGGCTATTAATCGTGCCTCGATTTGACGCAACGAGTAATCGATTAAGCTCAAAGCGATAAATGTTCTTCCGTACGCGAAATAAAACAAAATAATCCTGTTTAATTGCAGTGACTGCGATCACGAGCGTCGCAGTGCGACTCGATGCAAAATCAACGTTGAACGATATTCGTAGCATAGAACCAGCCCATATCCATTCATTGGAATTAAGTTGCTTTGTTATCCTTCCGATCGGATATTCAAGAAACATTCAACCAACCTGATCATCGAAGGTTGCACAATATCCCGACTCTGTTGCGATTAGACTGTCCCTGGTTTGGCGAATTTTTCAAAGGTCGTTCGCACTCTTTTATTCTATAACCGCGTTGAAGAGGGGATATTTAATTCCCTGAGTTCGATGGAACAGCGAACCACTCGGAATAACGCAGCCACCACCAGTATATCTCGCTTCATCTCGAGGCAAGAAACTTATAATAGAATTTTAGCTTCGATAGTTCACACAATGGATTGGCCCGGTCCGTAAACTGGTCTCATCGAATTGCACGATATAGAGAGGCCGGCAATGATTTCCCTGCGAGTAGAATCGATACGATGTTAAAGACGTCTCGGGATGCACGTCGTTCCTCGCGAGGAAAATTTCCTCTCGTCGAAGACAACGAGAACTTCCAGAGTAGGCAATTACGTTTTGTTTCGCTTATTCGTGGAATCTCACTATGAACTCGAGCGGAATTAATAGCCAGGCGATCACGATAAAAGAAAGTAATAGTACCAGGTTGATCCTCAATCCTCTTGTCCAGTGGCGTGCAAGCCAACAGATAATACTGCTCGACTAAGCGAGCGTAGCTTCACGTTACGTTTGAGGTAACGTAAAGTATCAGACCTGAACCGATCGATCCACCCTATATGCACGTATAAAATGATAAAACACCATATGAAAAAATAGTAAAATCCCAGCTATTCATTGAGGCTAACTAAAGACAACGATTAAACGAGTTAGCTTGCTTTCGGGTAAGCATGCGTTTCCACTGTGCGTGCGTCGAGTATGCTAGCGTAAAGATCAGTAGGCGGTTTTGTTTCCTTTTAGTTGGTCGGCCACGAGAAAGCGGGCCTCTTCCATTGTTCGTCGTCGTTTCCCCTTTCGGTGTGTGTCAGCTGCCGGCATGGCCCGAAGCCAACGCGTTGCGTTCCACACCGCTCCGAGTCACAATCGATCGGCATCCCTTCGGATCCATCCTTCTAATAACAGACCATCCAGAGAAGGTCTCGTTTCTGCGCGTCGACGAACAACCAACCAAGCGACACACCATCTATTATACATATGGTAGACACACAGTTACAGTACATGGAGAGATAATGGAATCTTTAACGAAGTTTACCGGCGAAAATGCAGAGAGAAAGAGCTGGCCGGCGTACGTTTAATTAATATCAGCGACTTCAGCTTAAACGCTTCGAAACGAGTTCACTGGGCCAACCAAGTAGTAGTATATGCCGATCCACAAGGAATCGCTAATTCCCTACGTACACCGACAACGCCTCGGTATGCCGTTTGCGGTATCGAAATGCAATATACCAGGGCGCATCTGTCGCGTGCATGTGCTGTATCTCTCGCTTCCGCGTACGTACCGACTGGCTAGGCTGGTATATGCGGTTAGAAGAGATCGAAACTGTTGTTGTTCCAAGGTATACCTAATTGCCAGCAACCTAGGCCTTCTCCTTTCACTTGGAAAATATAATAATCACAATACAACTCCCTTCTATTGTCTTCGAGTGTATCCTCGACAGAGAGACAGGAAGCTTTGCGCTTTGACACGCGGGATTATTTGTTACCGAGCTGTTCTTCTTCACCTGTGTTTCTCGGTCGCCGTCGTCGTAAAATATACGCGGGCAGGTTGATACTATGCAAATGCGGTTGCTATGCACGCTGGACGAAGTGGAAATAAAAATAGAAGGGACAACCTAAGAAAATAGGACTAGCTGCGTAGATGGACGCGGAAGAAGCGTAAACGCATTGATCGAACAACGCGAGATGAAAATCGGTTCGAGTTAGAAAAGTAAAGCGATTCTGTTGCAGTGCAACGCCGCCGTTGGCGTGAAGGCGTTTTTCGACATGATGCACAGCGGACCGCACAAAGTGATGCTATTCGGAGCAGCTTGCACGCATGTGACGGATCCCATCGCCAAAGCTTCGAAACACTGGCGTCTAACGCAGGTAAGTGAAAACTTGATGCTAATCGTCCACTTTCTTCGCCTTCTACCCTCCAATTTAATCCTTCGAGATCTCTTTCTGTTACAGCTTAGCTACGCAGACACGCATCCGATGTTCACCAGCAATAGCTTTCCGAATTTCTTTAGGGTGGTGCCCTCCGAGAATGCGTTTAACGCGCCTCGCGTTGCCCTCCTGATGCATTTCAATTGGACCAGGGTCGGTACCATTTATCAAAACGAGCCGAGATACGCTCTGGTGAGTAGCTCGAATTCCACAAGTATAAAATGAAACGCGTTCTACGTTCCATCGATCGCGAAATTCTCCGACGCTTGGAACTTTCCTGCTGGATGCCGTTGCTGCTACTGTACGCGCAGCTGCCGGTTTACCTACGTTTCCGTCCAACATGCATCGTTAATAATTCAAACGGTCTGGATGACCGAAAGCATTATAAAGGGATCGTTTAATTTCCTGCAGCCGCTACTCACCACTCGTTTCAGGATCCTTTTACATCCTATTTCCAGGCGCACAATCGACTGGTCGCTGATTTAGACGGCTACAGGATGGAAGTGGTGGAGACGCAGAGCTTCGCCACTGAAGTTACCACGGCGCTCGATAAGCTGAAAGAGAAGGACGTTAGGATCATTTTAGGGAACTTCAATGAATCGTGGGCCAGGCGAATATTCTGCGAGGCGTACAAGTGCGTACTCGCGAAATCGATATATGTACTGCGATACGCTGCGTGGTGCATGGTGCGTGTCGATCGAGGCATCGGCTTTTTTCCAGATTCGGTATGTTCGGAAGAAAGTATCAATGGGTAATAATGGGAACGTACGCAGAGGAATGGTGGCAGCGGCCCGTAGGTGGCTGCGAGCCCTCTGAAATCGCAATGGCTCTTCATGGCGCTATATTGACCGACCTGCTGCCCATCACCACGGAGAAACGTTACACTGTAGCTGGGATCGTGAGTAGAATGATCGGTCGTTCGCTGTAAAGAACTTACCGGTAACGCTCGACGACGGCTCGACATTTCCCCTGCACGTTTCCTTGAACAACCGCGGCCGTTTTTCAGACGACAGAGCAATATCGGGTCGAGTACGATTCGAGACGAGGCAACGAGTACTCGAGATTCCACGGGTACACGTACGACGGTATATGGGCGGTCGCTCTGGCTATACAACGCGTGGCCAACAGGATAACGCACTACCGTCGCAATCAGACCATGTCTGATTTCAGATACAGGGACGCGTTCTGGGAGAAGCTTTTTCTCGAGGCTTTGAGGAACACCAGCTTCGAGGGTGTCACGGTCAGTACCTACGAGAGTATCGAGACGAACGACTCGTTGCGATCGTGAAAGAGTTTCTGAAAGCAGCAGCAGTGTGTGCTTGATGTTCCAGGGGCCTGTACGTTTCTACGATAACGAGAGAAAAGCGTACATTCTGTTGAAACAGTTTCAAAGTGAGTATCAAACGAGAGGAGGTTGTCGCTATCTCCTGTGAGATTCGCCTACGTTTTCTCGTATCGCAGGCGACAGAGAGGTGAAAGTCGGCGAATTCAACGGCGTGACAGGCGTGTTAAATCTGAGCAAAGGCGAGCCATTGGTCTGGTGGGGCAGATCACCACCGAAAGATCGTACTCTTCACATCATCGAACACACCACCGTAAATATTACGATCTACGCCGTGCTTACATCCACGGCCAGCGTGGGTATCGTCATGGCGGCCATCTTTCTCGCCATCAATATTAAATATAGGAACCAAAGGTGATTACTGGAGAGGGGAACAAACGATTCCTTGGTCTTTTTTCTTTCGTCGCGACGTCATCGCGGCTTCTCAACCAAATCTAACGCCGCTCGTTGAAAGTGCCTGAGCACCGTACACAGGAAACCGAGAGATAAAACGAAACGAAACGAAACGAAACAAAACGAAACGAAACGAAACGAGACAAGACGAGACCACACCAGACCAGACGAGACGAGACGAGACGAGACGGGACGTAAAAAAAATGGGTAGCACGGGTAAAAGGACGACCCTGTTCCTTCACGAAAAGAAACAAAGGAAAAATCGACGATCGTGACCGTGGTGACAGCTCTTCTTTTTACCCGTGCCTCTCGCCTAATCTCTTCTCTATTTCCCTTCTCATGTCCGACCTTCGATCATCTTCGACGTTTCAGATACATAAAAATGTCATCGCCGCATTTAAACAACCTCATTATCGTCGGATGCATGCTGACCTACAGCAGTGTAATTTTCCTTGGGTTAGATTCGCAGCTGTCCAGCGTAACGGCATTTCCTTACATTTGCACCGCCAGAGCATGGCTACTGATGGCTGGTTTCTCCTTGGCCTTTGGTTCCATGTTCTCGAAAACATGGCGGGTACATTCGATCTTCACCGATGTTAAACTGAACAAGAAAGTGAGTGCTTCCTTGATCGCTTCTTCGCCTACTTTCCAACGTCTCTCTCTCTCTCTCTCTCTCTCTCTCTCTCTCTCTCTCTCTCTCGCTCTCTCTCTCTCGCTCTCTCTCGTTTAGGTGATCAAGGATTACCAGTTGTTCATGGTGGTCGGTGTACTGTTGGTTCTCGATTTGGGAATTATGACAACGTGGCAGGTGGCGGATCCATTTTACCGAGAAACGAAGCAAATGGAACCCTATGTAAGCTCAATGATCTCCATCGAGAAACGTAAGAAGGCGTAGACTGGAAGGGTGATGCGTTAACCACTTTCCCCATGCTTTCAGCCCCATCCCTTCAGCGAAGATATCATCATAATACCAGAAAACGAGTACTGTCAGAGTAACCGAATGACCATTTATTTAGGATGTATATACGCGTACAAAGGTGTCTTAATGGTAGGTAATGGTAAGCGAACGATCGATCCGAAAGACGACCATGACAGGACAAGACAGAACAGGACAGAACAGGACACGACTAAGAAAAGAAAAATACGCTGAGAAAGTTGAGCCGAGGCAAACGAGTCGTTTCGAGACGCGATTTTCACAATATTCCAGATATTCGGCGCTTTCTTGGCATGGGAGACCAGGCACGTCAGCATTCCAGCGCTGAACGACAGTAAATACGTCGGAATGAGCGTGTACAACGTCGTGATCATGTGCGTCACTGGAGCGGCCATAAGTTTTGTGTTGGCTGACAAACAAGACGCAATGTTTATAATGTTGGCGATATTCATTATATTTTGCAGCACCGCTACTCTCTGCTTGGTTTTCGTACCAAAGGTGTCTTCCTATTCCCTTCTCTACCTACCTCTTTCTCTCCAACCGTAAAACACTAACATTCTTTCCCCCTTGTCAGCTGATAGAACTGCGAAGAAATCCTCAAGGTGCGATAGACAAACGAATCAGAGCTACTCTCAGACCGATGTCGAAGACGCGAAGGGATTCGAGCATCAGCGAACTGGAGGAACGTCTGAAGGAAGCTACGCTGGCCAACCAAAAGTTCCGAAAACAATTGTTGGAGAAAGATTCCGAGCTACAGGTAAGTGAGTATGAACGAGGCGAGGAAACGAGACGCGTCGAGCAACACTTTCATCGTAGATGTTCCTGAGGAGGCTCGATGATCAAGCTGCGTCAAACACGCAAGAAGCGATGGACAGATTGACCGTTCCGAAACAAGAAGGGGCAGCGGTTAAGAAAGAGGGTAAGCAAACGAGGCGGCGATATTCGCTGTCTCGATATACCAATATGCGTTTCATTGATCATTTTATAGCAGGTCTCTCCATCACGACAGAGACCACGGACATTTCGGTGTCGATGTGCAGTCTAAATTCTACCACAATCTCTCAACCAGAGGCTGTCGAGTATACAAACGTAACCGCAAATGAACAGCAGCAGCAGCACACCAGCAAGTGCGTAGAAAGATCGTTGTGTCTTCGTTTCAATTCGAAACAATGCTCTAAACTATGGTATTCCCGAATTTCTTGATCTCAGGAAGAAGACATCCTTCTCCAAGGTACCAGCGATCGCGGTTGATAGCGAACGAGTCCCTCTGGTTCTTAAAACACAGGAAACAACGAAAGAGATCGTGGAAAACGCGTCAACAGCCCCACCTTCGGCCCTGAAGCACACGCAGGATGATTCTGGTCGACGGAGAAGTCGTTCCTCTGCTTCTGCCAGAGAAACCGAGCCCCTTCTCATCGATAGAAGTCCGGAGACGCGGCCACAAGCCGGAAAAACTAACGTCGAATTTGTACCCGAGATCGTCGAAGAGGGTGATGCTGTTATCCTCGAGGAAACGAAAATCCCCAGGCATGGAAAGCCCATCAGGTGCAAGGACGATCGTAATAGTAGGTCCAGACTTCCAACGCCTCCGCCAGCGAAGAACGTTTCCTTCGGTGAACTTCACGAGCAAAACTACCTTGAGCAGGCGATCCTTCCACCTCCATTGCAATTCGTACCCAAGCATCGACATTCCTGTAAGAAAAAACGATATCCCGTCAATTCTCTCATGTTACCATCACTACGGTGGTTACTGTTTTACCATCTTGACAGGTTCAGCGGCGAACGCATCCTCTCATCATTTGCTGAAAAGAAGATCGTCCGTGAAGAACAACGGGATGACTCATTCTCATCACGAGCTGTTCCAAACTCGAAGAACCAGCGTCCCAGCTAACTCCATCAGCTATATTTCAACGGAGAACGTGTCCAAGTCTGAGGCGACGGAAGTCTCCGGCTTCGACAAGTCTTACGTGATCAGTGAGTGTGGTCACAGGCGAGCGCTGCTCACTAGCACTGGCTATCGTTGCGAGAAACATCGCGCGATGCTCAACGGCTCGGCGGAGACACCACCCCCGGCGAGAAAGCACAGGAAGCACTATGACTCTCAGAACGCTAGTTCCCCGAGCGTGCCTGCGATGGTCAGCGCGAGCTATTCCGACACCGGTCAGCACTCTATTTGCAATTTTTTTTCCTCTTCTATTTCCGCCATGTTACAACTTGCATGTTCCGCGTTTACAGAAAAATACGAAGAATCCATGTCGACGATCATCCAGCGATCGGTGTCCGAGAAATCACGGGAGAAGTACCCGCGTTTACGTGGCGAAGGACAGGCGATGGTCGAATGCCGGCATCGCGCCGCTCGACGAATAAGAGAGTGCAGACGAACAGAGTCGAAGCTTAGGCAGCAGGCCCGCCTCGAGTATGTCCAGAGCACGCCAAATGTCGCTACTATTCACAACAACAAGTTCGCCAGTGCGAATCCTCGGGGGGGCGGAGGCAGCGGCGTGACCGCGACCACCGCTGCCTCCGAAGTAGCCGGTAGCAGTACAGACGTTGTTGGTGGCTCCACGGTCAACGTCTCAAAGATGTACAGTGCCGTCTCTGATGGCGAGTTGCTCGATCTGGCGATCCTGCCGATCTTTCAGAAGCTCCTCACGGAGAGGCACAAGAGTTCCTCCAGGGCCGGCTACGGCTCCAGCGTGGCCAGCTGTCCAAATATATCCATCAAATGCGACATCGTTGAATACCTTTAACGATCTTCCAACGATTAGTTTCAAATTTCACGCGGTGACCCCCCCCCCCCCCCCCCACACACACACACACACACACACACACACCATATAGGTATATATCTGTCCACGGCCTTTCTACCGCGTCGTCCGCCACCGGAAACCAAACCGCAGACATCCTACGCGAGCAAACAACTTTCCTCCTAGGATGCAAACAAATCACTTGCGAAATGCCGTTGCACGGGAAAGTTGTCGAATGTTGTTTTTTTCTACCGCAAACGAAACTATGTACAAACGAAACAGTCTGCACGGTGACGGTTTCTCTTCTAAACGTCTCTCAATTCTTGTCTCAATGAAGGGACAACAGCGTACACATAAACACACGACGGAGAAAACGGAGGACAGTCGCAGCGACGTATCCGTTCCGAAGTTGAGGATATCCCGTTTTTTATAACGAACTACACAGATCGTCGTAAGAAAAACATTGCATCGATCCTATTCGATATAAAAAAAAAAAAAGATAGCCAGTATCGAAACGAACGTAGAAAAAAAATGAAATGTTAGCGTATGCGTCTAATCTAACTTTGACCACTGTAAGTGTGCGTAATCCTTTTAAATAATTTTATAGCGTACGAAATTCGTGCTATCGCTGTTTAGCAGTTCGAAGAAGATAGACGTATGAGTCGAAAAGAGTTTGACCGTTTTATAGGATTTTCTCTTGCATTCCAGGGGGACGACATTTTTTTTCTTCTTTTCTTTTTTCTCACGTTACACCGTACTTCGTTTTCAACAAAATGAAAAAGGAAAGGAAAAAGAAGATATGAAAGGAGGAAATAAGACATCCACGTCTGTTAATTTTTGTCGCAATAATACGCGTTCGCGTTATATTAAGATTCATATTTAACGAACTTCTTGCCACTCTAACGACGTGATTCATTCTAAACAGATTGGTCTCGATCGTTCCGAGACAGCTCAAAACGCGTTCACGAGAAATATTAAACAAGAAGAAGCATACGATAAGCGTTCGCAATAAGCGGCTTTTAAAATAATTACATCCCCGTTGTCTAAAATTGTATTCACTTTTTCACAATAAACAGTCGACGTCTCTTTGTTAACGCGAAATATAACTCGATGCGAACAGTTTACGGGCGAGTTCTGAATGTGATATGCATGCCTAGCCAAAGAAAATCGTTAAAGTGCTGTTTTTTTTTCATTTCGTATCTCGAAAAGCCTACAATAAACGAAATGTCGAGAAGGAAAACCGTACTCTTTGAGAGCCTAATGCTCATTACAAGACCTTCATTATGTGGTTACGCGAGTCTTGTACATAACTATCGAAAATAAATGTCATGTTTACAGGTAAAAATAGGCATTTGTTATGTAACACGAATTATACCCGCCTCTTACTTCTTGAACGGTCATGATCGATTATTTGTAAGCACTCGTATCCCCTTTTGTTTTGTAACTTCGAAGCAACATGCTTGCCCCCAACTTTGTATGTCGTGTACTGTATTTGCCTGTCGTTTGCGAAACTTTGAAATCGAACCGTTGGAAACATTTCGATGACTTAATAAGTAATAAGTATGAGTCGATACTAACAGGTCAATTATATTAAATTTCATCAATAAAGTTGATTCACTCGTTTTACCACTTTAAAACTCCTTCAACGCAAAAATCAGCTACAAAATTCACGTCGTAATGCAACGCATGCTCTCGCTCACGACGTTTCCTTAGAAATAACAAACAAATTGCTTTCTTATCGATGGATATTATAAGTTCGTCAAATGACACTGTACAATATCATTATTAACTATACAAATCAAGATCAGTTTTCATCACAGGCATATAAACATACACACACACACACAACAAGAACACGCACACGCGCGCGCGCGTGTTCTCGACACAGTACAAAAGATAAACGTGCATTCTACGAATGATCGCAAAACCGTTTTGCATTGTCTACGTTCAACATAGTACGACATAGATTACTGTTAATGTAAAGTGAATAGAGTTTAATAAACCAAAGATTTGATACTGAACTACTCGATTAATTAAGCCTACATGATAATTCGATCGATGAAAATGTCGTACACCTGTACGAGAACATTCTGATTATCATTTATTGTGTATTGTACGTAAAAAGTAGTGGGGATCAGAGTTTTCGCCATCACCAATTATAATGTAGAATTGAAAATATCCTGAACTGCTACTGGTAGAAACGAGAACTTCGTGTAACCTAACCTCGTGTACATGAGATCATTCGCCTGCACGTTTATCAAATATATATTTATTTATAATTATGACGATAAGATAGTAATCCGTGTATCTTGAAAAATATCATTACCCAATTTATTCATATATACGTATATTGGTTAGGCTGACACATCGAATTACCGCGCATGTGCAAACAGCTTTGCAATATCAACTAATCCCCATTAGTTGGTACTACAGCAAATAAACGACTAGACAGTAATATTCTGACTAACATACGGAACAGAACGGTCACGAATTAAGACCGTTTTTAACTTAGAGATAATCATGTTACGACTATTGAGAAAAGTTCGATTGCCACGGTATTTTTCGACTGCTGCCAGACTGTTGCCAGAAAAAAATCCATCGATCCTCTATTCAGGAGTAAGTAACGTTCAGTACTATGCCCTTTATTTAGAGGAATTCTTATGAAATGCACTTTATGAAACTTATCCTTCTTAAAGAAAGGGGAGGGAGACGGAGAGGGAGAACGCATTGTTTCTCTATGAATATTATAATAATCGCTTATCTCTTACGTATAATGTTTTAGTGAAGAAACATATGCAGTAATATATTCGTTACGACAAGTGTCTTATCTGTTGTAAAATTGTTTCTAAACAGATTACACAGTTACATTTAATTTTCTAGAATTACTTAAAAATAAAATAAATTCGTTTCAATTTTTTCCCATTTGGTTAGCAAAAAATGAAACACGTGAATCAGTTGATAATGATGAGGTTTGCAATTTGCAATTTTTCAGACTTCGTACTTCTAATCTACACCATAATAAGAATAAAGGCTATCGACACAACCTTTTTCTATCGTTATCTGTCTGATATATGTATATTTACCTAACTAAAATAATGACTGTTTTTTTCTTGTCTTTACATAATATCTTGTAATGTTTCATTTTTATCGAGCCGGTGTCATCGTAGTTGCTTATTTAACATGCTTAATATTTTAGATTTTCATTGATAATGAATGGCACCGATCCAAGTCGGGAAAAACGTTTCCCACGGTTAACCCTACAACCGGTGAAACTATCACCGAGGTGCAGGAAGGCGATGTTGGTGACATCGATGTAGCGGTACACGCAGCAAATAAAGCTTTTAAGTTAGATTCACCATGGCGAACTATGGACGCTTCTCAACGCGGTGTATTGTTGAACAGGTTGGCCGACTTGATGGAACGTGATCGCACTTATCTCGCGGTAAACATTTCTCACAAGTACTACTTGAATTTTTTTCACGGCAGACATCGTTGTTAATAACTCGGAACTATTTTGCGCGACAGTCTTTGGAAACGTTAGATAATGGAAAACCATACGTCACAGCATACGAATTTGATGTACCTGCAAGCATTCAAACATTGAGGTATTTTGCGGGATGGTCGGACAAAAGCCACGGCAAAGTAATTCCCGTCGATGGAAAATATTTCGCCTACACGCGTCACGAACCCGTTGGTGTTTGTGGACAAATTATTCCGTGGAATTTCCCTCTTCTAATGATGGCTTGGAAACTAGGACCCGCTTTAGCTACTGGTAACGCATTTATTATAGTAAACAACAATCACATTTAATCATTTAGATAATGTTGCACCAGTGACTAATTACGTTTGCCGCTTATAGGAAATGTCATCATTTTGAAACCTGCCGAACAGACGCCATTAACAGCTTTATACGTGGCTCAATTAACCAAGGAAGCTGGATTTCCTAATGGAGTAATCAATGTCGTTCCTGGTTTTGGACAAGCCGGAGCTGCGCTGGTCGCTCATAATATGGTCCATAAAATAGCGTTCACCGGCTCAACTGAAGTTGGAAAGTTAATACAAAAGGATGCCGCAAACACCCTGAAAAGGACCACGTTAGAACTTGGTGGAAAATCTCCTAACATAATATTTAGGGATGCTGATCTCGACCATGCTGTAGAAACAGCTCATTTCGCTCTATTTTATAACATGGTACCACCATAACTATACTTCTCTTACCACTCTCGAACGAAACCTATTTGCGTAATTCACGTTCACTAATGTGTGCGCTGTATTTCCTTTTAGGGTCAGTGCTGTTGTGCCGGCTCGAGAACATTCGTCGAGGATAGTATTTATGATGAATTCGTGGAAAAAAGTGCTGCTCGTGCCAAATCTAGGGTCGTGGGTGATCCATTTGACGTGAACGTGGAGCAAGGTCCACAGGTATCGAATTCTCTCGTCAACGATACCGAAGCAAAAATGATACGTTTGTCAAAATTAAATCCAATTATTCGTTCTTCGTTAGATCGATGAGGAACAAACAAATAGAATTATATCTCTCATTGAAACTGGCAAAAAGCAAGGGGCAAAGCTTGTTTCTGGTGGCACGAGAGTTGGTGATAAAGGCTATTTTGTCGCGCCTACAGTGTTTGCTAACGTTACAGATGATATGACCATCGCTAAGGAAGAGGTGGATACGAACTTCTTTGATTATTTCCAAACGTAACAAGCCCACAAATCATTCCATGTAGCGCAATATCTAACGTTCCTTACAGATCTTCGGACCGGTTCAACAAATTCTAAAATTCAGCAGCTTAAACGAAGTTATCAAGCGTGCTAACGCTACTGATTACGGATTGGCGGCAGCAGTTTTCACAAAGGACATCGACAAAGCAAATCATGTCATACAGGGACTTCGAGCAGGCACCGTATGGTAATGTTATCTTAATATTCAGACATCACCTTTTCTAATCAGCCTAAATAAAAAAAAAGAAAAAGTAACTTTTCTTTCATTCCTTATTTTTTACAACATATTACAGGGTTAACACGTATAACGTTCTAACGCCTCAAGTACCATTTGGAGGATATAAAATGTCTGGACACGGAAGAGAACTCGGAGAATACGGCCTCCAAGCATATACCGAAATCAAGAGTGTAATCGTTAAAGTTAATCAAAAAAATAGTTAGAACAATTACATTTCAATTTTCTTCCATTTCTCGTGAAAATTAGTAAGATTTTTTTTCATTTTTCTACTGTATGTATCTGTCACGATACGCTCAATTAAATATTGAAAATATAAAAAACAATATAAAATAAGTGTCTTTTTGCACACTTGCTACATGCCAAAAAAAAAGCAAGAAAAAAGGAGGACGAGTATTTTAAGTACTACTGTATTTTTCTATAATTTGTATTGTTGAATGAAATGTGATACTTTAGAATTAAAGGAACAATATATGTTGACATAATCTCGTCAAATCTTATTATAGAAATTACAAAAATATAATTAATAAATAATTTAATCCTTTTAAATCCGCTAGTTAATGAAAGTTTCAACGCTTCTAACACTTACGGAACACAAATCTATGTATACTGGAAAGTTATTGCACACCGTCACATGCTCCCTAAGTATACTCGCACATATGACCGCAGCCTGTAGGGCACTGTCTATTACAACTGAACCACTCGTTCATATGGACAACGTGACCACCGTGTGTACATCCCTGACACCATGCGTAAATTCCTCGCACAACCTGTCGAACATACAAACAGTAAAACGCGTCAGAACAAATGCGATGGACAAAGATTAAGTACCTCACCTGATGACAAACGGAACAGAGAGCGTGGTGAGAGGAATCGCATCGATCGCAAAACCATGCTGCTCTTTGCGACGGTTTTGTACAAGCAAAACAACACGCGTGTATTACAGTTGATTGCTGATTTAATTGCGATACAGATGGAATCCAGACCGATTGAATAATCTGTCAACATAAACCGATTGTTATACTACTTGATCGTCCAAGTGATTTCAATATATTGTAGTTCATTCACTAACCTGGGTTGCCACGTTCCAGAGTTTAAATCTTGCAAGCATATCCAAGTATTCTAATATCCAATGTTCTTGAACGGCCGTTTCAATGTTCAAGTTTTTTCGTTTTTCTCCCAACGCGATAAGAATCGACGCAGAAGTCTGTATATCTCTGAGAGCCGCATGATGCTTCAAAGCCTCTTCGATCAAGTTCGTGGGATCCCAAAACTGCGGTTTAGGTATATTCGAGACTATTAATTGACTCGGTTGATCTTCGATCATTAACGAAGCACAATCTTCGTTAATGTCCGGGGGATGATTCGGAAATTGTTCCGGCGGCGGTGATCTGTCCTTTATCTCGTGTCTCAAAGGGAATGCCTCTTTGGATAACGTCCAATCGTTATCGTTATTTATCATATTATTCATATAACTGGAAGTGTATTCCATCGTCATGGGTTCAAATTCGCTTTCTCCAAATAAGAAATCTCCTTTAGATGGTCCTTTGTGATCAATAAATGCTCGTTTGTAACTGAATATTTTCAGACGAAAATAGACAATGTCAATATACCAAGTACATTCAACATCGTAACATTTTAAATCGATTAGTTATCGTCAACGCTACCTAGGTAACATAGACCCTATAGAATGTTGATTTTCCGGCGTCTCATCTGTTTCCGTCTCATCATCACCTCCACTAGTTGCGCCCGTTACTTCTCCTTGCAATGATTTCACATCGTTCTCATGCGCTGAGAGAAAATATTTTCAAATATCATCGTTACAATTCTAATATAACACCCGAAGGGATCTTTATATGCGAGATTACCTGCATTCGATTGTTCTAGACCAGGTCCCATTGTAATTTGTGCTAAGTTTAATGTATTCACTATATCTTCCTTGGAAGCAGTTGGAGGAGTTTTTAAAATAGATCCCATTGGATTTGCGTATAAAGTTTTTATAATATTCCACACAGTACTGATCTGGTTAAAGTTGATTTTTATATATTAATAGGAATATTGTATTTTAATAGAATAATACGATCAACGAGTAAACTGTAATGATATATAAATTTCAACGATTACACACATCATTTCTACCGGCATTTCTGGCAACAGTGGCATTATGATCGCAAATGTCATTTAATCTTCCAGAAAGTAAATAACCTTCTGCACAAGCTTTAAACCACTGTGGTTCCCGTGGCATGTTTATGGCAAATCTGTGCATCACGCTAGACGCCATACAAAACGTATCATTTGTTGCGGGTGTTTTTCTATTAATAAAATTCGACATGTTAGCAACGACGATATCGTCAAAGAAGAGCCAATTTAAGCAACGAATTCATCAACCTCATTATGTTAGTCAGTTGTTTCATTGTAGTTGTAACGTGGACATTTACTTTACAAGCATACGCAATATCACCTTTCGGATTTAACGCCATGCCCTGCGGATTCGCTTTACTCGCGGGTCTAGTAGCATCTTTAAACACATGGTGATACAGTGTACAGTCCTGCACGAACAATGCATTATTAACGCCGCGCAACAATATAGAAAATATTTTACAATAAGCGTTAATTATGACGCTGCTATTACCTTGCTAGTTGATAAAAAAGATTGTGAATTACCCCTCCATGCAACACCAGTTGCAACATCTTCATGTTCGTTAAAACTTGCAAAAGGTATGTATGGTCTACGAATATCCCACACATTTATACTACAATCTACCACAAGAGCACAACTGGATATATGATATTTTCTTTGAGGTCTCCATTTTATGTGACCTACAGATGCTATTGTATGTATTACATAATCACAACTCGGTTTACCTAATAAGTCCCAAACCTATGTACAACATTTTACACGTATGAAGTCTTAACAACAAAAAAAAAAAGAAAGAAAACAACATCCTTGAATTTTTAATTAAACACTTTTCTATTTAAAATAATATGAATAACATAAGATTACCTTGATGGTTTTATCTCTGGAAGCAGTTGCAAGCCAAGTGGTTTCAGGGTGCCAATCACAAGCAAATATAGGACCGCTATGAGCAGTAAAATGTTGAAAGTAACGGTCTGGTTTACGTAAATCCCACTGTTGGACATGCCCATTTTCAGAGACAGCAGCAAAAGTATGAGGTGAATGAGGACAAAATTGTACATCTCGTACTGATTCTGTATTGCTGCAATTAATAATGCTTTATTAACAATGCATGTGTTTAAACATTTTCAAACTATATACCTATAAAAGGTTCTAGTAGCTTCTTGTATTCTTAAATCAAAACACTTCATTGTACCATCTTGAGAGCCAGATATTAACCACATAGGTTCTGTCATATGAAAGCTTACTTTATTTACAGTTCTCTTATGATCAATAAAAACATGTTCCTGTTTGGATCTACATGATTTATTTAAATTCCACACTACTACTGCACCATTTGTGGCAGCAGTTGCTAATATATGATCTAGAAAATACATATATTTATTTTTTTGTATAAGTATAAATCAGAAAAGTAGTGTTCCTCATACTACCAACTTACCATCAATGAGATTCCAAGCAACATCATTACAAGAAAAATTCAAATTTAAATTTTTTCCGACACGCAAATTACAAGCTTCTTCAAATCTATCTTCTAATAAAGTAAATATTTTGAAAACTGTAATGCAGAATAATGTATCATCCATTAATTATTTACCAATCTTAATTAATTGTTCTATTATTAAGAGATTAATTTTACACTATTAAATAGCTTACCATTACGTCCTGCTATAACTACTTGACTATTTTCTTTGTTGAGTGCCAATGCATTTGCCGGACCTTCTTGAGTAATGCACACAGTTTTGGAAATCATAATGAAATTCTTTGAAAACTAACAGATTACAGTGAATGTTAAATTTGTCAAGCACACTATACTTCGTATAAATAATTATTACTAATTTTTACAATACTAAATACTATTTTCTCATAAACAGTATCACAATCTCCTATCTCAGTACACAAAGGAAGTATCCAAGTACATTAATAAACTTATTAATGATAATAACACCGACATAAAATGTAATTTTGTTTTGTTCTAATACGTTTCTTTTATTACTACATTTTATTAAATTCAGATTAATCCAAATTACACATTCGAAAATATTTAAACATATCATAGAACGCACTAAGCACAGAATGTTTTGTAAATACACATTCTTATTCTTCTTTACAATAAACAAGAGTGGTAACTCTAATGGTAGAATATGTAACATGATACTATCGAATAATAGTAGCTAGATACAATAAAAATTATTGTTTTGCACGATTAAACTTCGTTGTTCTGTTTTGCTGGCGTGATAAAAGTAAACTTGACAATGTAATTTAACATAGTGATAAATAGGAATATTAACTTAAAAATAGTAAAAGTTTTGTCTTTCTTAGTGTTGTTACGTTGGTTCTTGGGGAATTTGACGAAATAGTCGCCCGTGGAGCACTGAAGTACTCTGCTCACGATGATTTTAGGAAGTTAAATGAATAAGGAAAACTAACGTTGAAACTTTTAATAAACTAATAAATAACTTGACTGGAACAATAATTAACGAAATGTTTAACTATAACTTTATTACGAGATAATACGTCTGAGATCTTTGAACGAAGAAAATTGAATTGCCTCTTCAGGCGTCGTTGACTATTATTTATAATGTTTACAAGCTTTTGTTAAAACAATCGTCACCAATTAAACTAAGGGTTTTGTATAAAGTTATCTAAGGAAGAATTTGATTAGTTCTAAACATTTGTTTATTAATACATATTTGCTTTAAAGCGAGTGTTTTACACCTCAGCAATGCTTTGTCCATAGCGACGACGATAAATATTGATTTTAACGAGCGATTGCAAATAGCAATCGATGAGATTTACTGTACACTGTATGTACTTGTTTTGGGTTCTTTTGTTCATTGCTTCGGCTACACCGCTGTACAATTTGAATTTGGCGCGCTTTAACATTCACACTTCGAGGCGCCACATGACACCAGATGCAGACCGCCCTAAAGCCACGTTCATGGGCATGCACGACGAGCGATTAAAACTACGTTCACGCGATAGCGTAACAGTATGTTATGCTATTGAATGAACGTAGTTTTAATCGCTCGTCGTGCACGCCCGTGAATACGGCTTTAGGACGATCTGAATTTGGTGTCGTATGGCGCCCCGTAGTGTGTATGTGTGTTAAAGCGCGCCAAGTTCGGGTTGTGCAGCGGTGTAGCTGAAGCAATAAACAAATAATGAGAACCAATCAAATCCATCCGCAAAAAAAACGTTATATAGAATCTTTAATTTGATTGGAGACTTTTGTAAGATAAAGGCATGTAAGATGATGAAATCAACGATGCCTGACGATTTATTCGATTTTCCTCGTTCAAAGAGCTCAGACGTATTATCTTGTAATAAAGTTATAATTAAACATTTTACTTATTCTTGTTCCAATCAAGTTATTTATTGGTTTATTAACAGTTTCAACATTGGATTTTTCCGTATTCATTAACTTTCTTAAACTATCGTGTTTTGAGGTGTTTTGGCGCTCTACGTGCGCAAATTCCATCAAATTCCCCAAGAACCCACGCAACAGTATTAAAAGGGAGCGCTCTCAAACAAGAAATATACTTGCGTCACATTTTATTGAGAGTTCCAAATCTGTTATTCTACTTGTTTATGCAATATTGTATATAACATCGTTACATACGTCAAAAATCGATTTCAAGCGTGGTCTTCAAAAACTGTTCGAATTATTGCAACAAGTTGCAGTTAATAGTTACAGGTGTGCCGAACGAATTAAAATCGGCAATGCGTCTTTGTCAATAAAATTAATAGCTTATAAATTGTTAAACAGAAATTGTAAAGTATTAGTTTAGAAAATCAAATACTGTCAATAAAATTATATTTAATTTTGATTGCAATTAAATCAATCGATGAATATTATGTACTTTAAATAATAAAACACAATTCACTTTTACATCCTGTTTAATTTTTGCCAAATAATCAAAGAGTTAAAGACGTTCTATTTAAAATGCCTTGTGTTTTATTCAATTTATCAATCAGTCACTAATTTACATAATTATCATTATTGTTCTAAATCCTTTAAAATAATTATATAAATGTAATTTTTCGAAAGTACATGATCTATTGTTCTATAAACTAGTGAAAGTTTATCTAAAATGCTTCACTTTAAGTAATACAAGGTCAATCGTGGCAGTTGAATCAATCTTTAGGAATGTAAGCACAAGTAGTTGTAGAAATCGAAATAGCCAGTTGATTTATAGATATCGCGATAACACAGCTCTAGGCTATCATTCGGGAGTGACACTACTTTAACGTATATAAATACAAATGGGTGGAAATAATTGTAAAGGACTTCTTCCAGGAAGTTCTAGTGCCACGCCAGGCAAATCGCCAAAGGCAGGTGCGAACTACATTTCTCTTCTTATTAAACTTCAGTGTATTTATAATTATATGTTCAACAATACGCATTTAACAATATATTAATAACCCCTGTTAATATTCCGATATCGAATAAATGTTTGAGGATTTTAATAAGGCTTTATGAGGAAAGTTGTTTTATATAAATTTAATTTAATTATAATATATGCATATATATAAACACACCACATATACATACGTAAGAATATTCAAAATATGTAATTGCTACATAAAAGTAACATTCTTCTATGAAACGCAATAAACGTTACTGTCGATCGATTTCTGTTATTCCTTGATAAATGGTTACTATCGGCACGTGACATATGGAAGTTTCGTTTTCTTTTTCGTTATTGTTATGCTTTATCTATCAACCTGTTTTCTTACTGATAGATATTATTCGAAAATATAAACAATAATTAAAGCATTCATTGAAATATAAATTCGGTCTATTAAATTGATTGACGTGCGCGACAAAATATAATGCGTACAAGTTACACGTATGTATGTACATACGTATATATAGCTTCCGTATGGTTTTAGTACATTTCTTTTTGGGATAATTCAAATTTTCTTTGATAAAAATCCAGTATCGAAACTAAGAACTACTCGTACTATGAGTAATTGGTAAAGATTCGTACAACAAAATGAGTAATTACGACGAATAATAGTACAAGGTTCTGAGAGTATGCGCTTGTACACTGCGAGACATTGCATGCGATTAACGTATAATACAATTTTTAATGTTCGTTTAAAGATAAATAACGGAAGAATGTCAAAATTACAATCAGAAAGGAAGATTCATACTTGCAGTGAGTGTAACAAAACACCGGAAGGTATTAGGCGAGCATTTAATAATGCACAATGTTGTTGTAGTTGTGAGTTATAGGCTTGACGTGATCGATTTAATTTACTATAATGCACAATTACTTAATATTCGCATTCACTTTATAATGAAAAACATTTATCAAACTAAAAAGTTCAATAAGTTTAAATAAAAAAATGGAGGAAAGAAAGAAATTGAAACATGAAAAATTTTAACTAGATAATTGAATGCATATCAAGGATACTTTGTATTTACTTATGTAGGTAAGCCAGAAAAGTTTGATTACATTGAAGATGTGGTGTGTAAGGAAACTGATATCAAAGAAAATGAAATGAAACTATTGCCACTTGGAGAAGATGGAGGAAAAATTTTGTTAATTAAACAAAAAGGAGAATTGCATGCTATTGGTACAAAATGTACTCATTATGGGGCTTTGCTCCATACAGGAGCATTGGGAGATGGAAGGATAAGATGTCCATGGCATGGTGCATGTTTTAATATTAAAACAGGAGATATAGAAGATTATCCAGGATTGAATTCCTTACCTTGCTATCAGGTAATTCAAGAAGTACATAAATTAACTTTTGTTAATAATAAATGTTGTTTATTCAAACAGGTAAATGTAGATGAGAATGGTCTTGTGCGTGTGAAAGCAAAACGTAAAGATTTAGATTCCAGTAGAAGGGTAAAAAAAATGTGGAAACAGGATGTTAATAATAATACTACTGTTGTAATAGTTGGAGGTGGACCAGCAGCTGCAACTTGTGCAGAAAGTTTAAGACAAGAAGCTTTTACAGGAAAGATTATTATGATTTCTAAGGAAAATGCATTACCATACGATAGAGTAAAAGTATCAAAAACTTTTGATATAAATATAGAGCAAGCAGCTTTGAGACCACAATCATTTTACAATGAACACAAAATTGAAACAAATCTGGGTGTAGAAGCTATAGGTAGGAAAATTAACGTAAAATTCTTAATATCCTTTATATAATTCAATCAAGTTCTATAGCAAAATCTATTACAGGACTGAATACAGATCAAAATGTTGTTCAGTTGAGTAATAATGAAAAATTAACATACAACTATTTATTTATTTGTACTGGAAGTAAGGCTAGAGTGCTTAATATACCTGGTGTTGATTTATCCAACATTCATGTATTAAGAAGTTACACTGACTCTCATGCTATAAACTCAAAACTATTAGCAGACAAACATGTTATAATATTTGGATTAGGCTTTATTGGTATGGAAGCTGCTGCTTTTTGCATTAACAAATGCGCATCTGTTACCGTGATAGGTAGAGGCACAGTACCTTTAGAAGCAGTTTTTGGAAGAGAAATTGGTAATAGGATCAGGCAACAGTTTGAAGAAAAAGGTACTATTTTACTGTGCGATTTGATTCATATTAGATTGGACAAAAGATAATTAAATATTTTTTTCAAGGTGTCAAATTTATATTTGGACGTAAAATTGAACAATTTATTGCAAAAGAAGAAGAAGAGAAAGAAAAGAAAATGAAAAAGAAGGGTGAAGAAAGTGCAGTAGGTAGAATTGTACTTACTGATGGTGAAATTCTTCCAGCTGATATAGTAATTATTGGAATTGGATCTACATTTTATACAGATTGGTTAAAAGATTCCTCCATTAAAATGTTAGAAGATGGCAGTATTGCAGTGGATAAGGTACAATGATACGCGACAGTAGAATAATTAGAAGTATCAATTGTAAAAAAAGTAACATTCTACATTTAACTTTAGTATTTGAAAACAAACGTGGAAAATGTATATGCTGGCGGTGACATAGCATATGCGCCATTATTTGGTTCCGATAATATTTCCGCTGCGATAGGTCACTATTCGTTAGCGCATTATCATGGTAAAATAGCAGCATTAAATATATGCGCTAAAAGTACAGCTTTAAATACTGTACCATTCTTTTGGACAACATTGTTCGGAAAGAGTTACCGCTACGCGGGTATGTAAATATTTCAGTATTAATGGAAAAATGACGCCTTTCATTATAATTATAATAAAATTTTCAGGATATGGGAAACCAGAGAAAATAAGAATTTATGGTTCTTTGGAGAATTTGGAATTTTTTGCATATTATATTAAAGATGGTAAAATAATTGCAATAAGCAGTGTTGGAGCAGATCCTGTTGTATCAGATTTTGCAAATTTCCTGTATGAAGGAAAGACATTGACAGAAGCAGAAATAAATAAAGATCCATTTGGTTGGATAAAAAACAAACCAAAAGATTTACAGGAAAGATTTCAAAATGAATTAATGAATTAGAAGCATTTAATGATGAAAATTGAAAAGGAAAAGTACTGGTTTTATTCTAAGATTCCAAATGTTATATTTTACAATATACTTCTGTATTTTTAAAATGTATGAATTTTGTCACAAGAATTTTGATTTTTCTATTAGTACTTGGAGAAAAAGAGAGAAAAAAAATAAGTGTCTCAAGCAAGGAGGAATACCATGCTTAATTTTAATGTTTATATTGTATACAACAGATTTTTATTTTATATAATTATTTATTTTGATCGCATCGAACCAATGAAGTATTGTAACTATTTATAAAATAAACTAATCCCAAGCTTCATTTATAGTTAAATAATTCAACCTATCAGCAGCAGTAACTCTTCGATTAAATTTCTCGTTCGTTTCTTCTCGCCACGTGTTCAGTAGGCTGAACATCTTTGCTTTTTTAATTTCTTTCATATGACCATGAGATTGTTCAGCCGTAAGATAAGGATGCCTCAGAAGTAACATATTTTTATCTTCTCTCTCAAGGTCCTTTTTAAATTCTACGATATCCTTTAAGGTGGGCTGCTTAATTTTGCCATATTTCCTGCATTGAATATGAGCCTTGTACACCATAAATCCTGTTGTTTATATATAGTAATGTGTAATAAACATAACCTTAATTCGCAATATTACAGATAACAGTTACATATACTTGGTTGAAGTTCTCAGGAATTTAACTGCGTTAAAAGTTTATTTCTTTACACCATATTTATATCTACTGTCACATCATTGTGTAAAAAAGTAATTAAAACTGAAGGAATGACTAAAGCATAACCTTTAAACTTGACCAGAATGCAAGGGTTATTTGTACGTACCCACGGAATCTATATGGAATGTTATGAACTTTATAGAGAAGTATACTCGTGATACGCATCCCGATAAAATTTTTGTTCTTCTTAATGATACGTGTAATTCTTGATTCGAAGTACGTCTAGAACCTCCAACGTATGCACAGTCTGAGGAGACACCAAATGGTGAATGATTCTGTTTCTCCACACAACGCGATGCGATTGGCCGAATCACTTTAAACTGGTTAAAATTATTGTAAATTTGAAATTTAAACGGTATATCGTCTTCTACTCCTTAAATTGCCTTTTACGTAATTATGTTAATAAACGACACTTTGATTAATCCATTATTTGTAAAAAATTTGTTGATTATTCGTAAATGCAAAAATATGAAGAGTAAAAATTGAAGTATGAAAAAGGGTTTGGTAAAGATTAGTAAATAGTAATTCCATGAAAGAATTGATCTATTTGATAGCATTTCAAATTTAAGACAAAAAGAAAAGGTGATATTCTTATAATTAATAACAAACACGTTGTCAAATTACGAAGAAGGTTCACACATTCGAATCCGCGCTTATACGCGAGGCTTTTGGTTTCTCATCACCATTGTTTTCTCGTATGTGTCGTCCGCCTGTCTCTCTCTCTCTCTCTCTCTCTCTCTCTCTCTCTCTCTCTCTCTCTCTCTCTATCTGTCTTCCCCCTCTCTCCCCCCTCTCTAGCACCATTCTGTCACTTCTTACTCATCTCTCTTTCAATTATATATTCGTATTCGTTAATATTATATTTGCACTCCTATTCTCACTATTCTTTCGTATTCGAACAAGATCGTATTTATTCGATTTTAATCGGTAAATGATTCATAAAACGAAACAAAAAGTAGACGCAAGGGCAGGCAGGCAGACAGACAGACAGACGGGCAGACAGACAGACGGACAGACAGACAGACAGACAGACAGACAGATAGGCGAGCAGATAAACTACACGGACAAATGGTGGACTACACTATCCAATAACTGTGGCTTTCCTTTGAATTTCACGATATACGCGCGATAAATCCCTCTGTTTCATATATAAATTGAATTTGAAATCCGTTCTATTCCGACACCCTGATTCAACCCCGAAAGCGGGGTTGCACTCGCGCACACGCATCGTATGGCATTAATTTTCTCTTCTCGTTCCCCTTTCGCTCTCGAACATACATATCTCGCGATAATGTTCGCCGTTTGAACACTTTTTGTTTCTATCATATTGTAGGGGAAGCT